GATTGTAGCACTTTATATGTATTTGCTAGGAAATTAAAAAAAAAGCCATAAAAGTAGTAATTGAAAACAGTCAAGGTTTGAAGGGAAAGCTTTTCGCTTCAGCTGCTAGGACAGGAAAATAGTTTCATCTTCCATTTTCCTTTTTTTAATTTTTTACATTCTAAAAAAGAAAACCAGCATTTAACATAACATCCTTGCATCTTTCATTTGAGCAGGCAGAAGTCAACCGATGTGGGACTTACTGATTACCACTTTCTTACATAATTGTTGACCCTGTGCACTGTATGGAATACCTGTGTGCTTGGCTTAACAAGCTTGTAAAACTGGAAGATGATTTTTGGAAAAGATGATGTAGAAATGCAATGTATTTTGTTCTGTGAATTGGATTATGTTGGTTATCTATTTGCTGCACAATTTGAACTTCACAAGGAAGGGGGATGTTCCTCCTGTTTAAAGCAAAGAGAGTGAGAATTCCAAGAGTGGATTGTTCAGTTCCAGAGCAGCCAGCTACACTGAGAAGAGCCATCCAAGACTTCCCTCTCTTACTCCTTCCCTAAAAGCTGCTGCTTCCAAGAGATGCTCCTGTCCAGAGACAGGCAGAAAAAAAAAGACTGTTAGTAAAGACTGGAAGTCATGCTCAGCTTGTGCTTCTAGACCAGCATTCATCACAAACTGTCATGTGCTCTACAGCATTAACTGATGTGACTGAGACATCACATGCTTCTCTCCCCACCCTGTGTTTGGGACAGAACCATGTGCATGGACATTTTGTATTAATTCTTTTTTTCCTTTAATAATGCACACACAGGTCACCACATTTTGCTTGAAGAGGCCAGGCCAAAGCCAAGTACTTTATGCTGGAAGACACACTTTGGGTCAGTTCTCCAGAAAGCTCTGTTGCAAGAACCTCCATCTGGTTAAACTTCTAAAAATTCACCCCCATACGGAGTTTTATAATATCAAAAAAAAAAAAGGGAGAGAGGAAATTTCTACTCCCACTGGCTTATGTTTTCTCTTTTTGCTCTTTGCTGCAACGGGACTCCCAGCATAGGCTGGTTGATATCCTGTGCCATTTGGAAAATACAGGGTTGGAAAAAATAGCCCAAGGAGAAGGACTGTCTACAACTGCCTCTCCTTCCCCCTCATCTTCTGTGTGTACCTACCCTGAAGGTACAATGGTCTTGATAAGGAAACTGAAACACCTCAGGTAATGATAAAACACACAGTGTAAGACAAGTATGGAGTATTTACTCACTAACAGTGCAGCCCAAGAGCAGAGAGGCTGCCAAAGAGGGATCAGTGCCTTCCTTACACCCCCAGGATTCATTGTCTCTTAGCCTGGG